AAGTGTGTGTGTGTGTGTGTGTGTGTGTGTGTGTGTGTGTGTGTGTGTATTTTTATAAGATCAGATTGTCCAGATTGAATCTGTTTATAAAAAGTCCAGATATTACTCACTCGATACATTTAGCGCAGGTGAATGCGTGGCAAGAACCAAGGATCGACCCTCGTTTCCAGAATGCACAAAAGTGACGGGTCTAACATCACTTGCAGATGATTGCACAGCTAGAGCCAATGGCCTATCATTGTTAGACAGATTAGAGTGTACAAATGTAACTCTATTGTCGTTGGCGGTGGACGAGTGAACGACCAGTGCCACGGGCCTTGGCTCGTTCCCAGTGTTTGATTGTACAGCAATCAACGGTGCTCTGGATTGATCCGAGGAATTTTGTACCGCCAGTGTCAAAGGTCTAGATTCATTATTGCCGGTAGTGTGGGCGACTAACAGCTGTCGCGTATCACCCGGAATCACTCTAAGACTCGGCCCGATGTGCTGCAAGGCTGGTACGATAGTCGCGAGACCTTGACTCGTATTCAGCATCTGGGCACTGATCGGCAGGTGCAACTGATGCGGCTGTTGTACTATACTGGCGGTGGGTGATGTAGTAACCTTCTCCTAAAACGAAATCATCACTCTATCTCAAAGATGTGCGTACTATTCGTAGAATTCGAAGATAGTAAAATATAATGCATAGTATCAGATTGTACATAAATTAAAAAATGGTTTCAAAAAGATTTTAAAAAAACATTTGCAATGAGATTTCATGTCGATTTAAAATCTCAATATAAACAATTTTTTCTATAAAAAAGAAACAAAGCAACTATATTAGTAAAAGTATATCACACATTTTCAAAGCTGTTTCCAGTAATAAGTAATCAGTAAACAGCTCTGCAAATGTGTTGTTTGTTTTGGCATCGATTTATTGCAAAATCACAATACTTGTCTTGTGATCTTGTCTTGGATACGATGCGGAAGTAACTTCCATCTAGTTCGTTCCGTTTAGTTAGAGAGAGAGAGACAGAGAGAGAGAGCAGCGTTACCTGCGTTGGGGTAGAAATGCTGGGTGCAGATGCCGTTCCAACAATCGAATTGGCGGGTGGACTCTCCCTAGAACTTCGTGCAAGATTTAGATCTTGCGTTTGACAAACAACACCCGCAGTTGCGGCTTGATTATGAATATTGGAAGTCGTGCTAGTGGACTGTAATATTTGCGGGGGACTGGCTGTCGTCGTACTATTCAGACTGCTCGTGCTGCTATACCTCGTGCCACCCCGCGGAAGTCCAGTAATGTCAACTTCTGTATTTTCTGCAATTTATTAAAAAATTTATGTAAGATCATAGATGGCATTAATCGGTAGACAGGGTCTTAGCGTCGAATAATTTTTCTTCGTTTCTTAATATAAATATAAATTCAAGATAAATGCTTATATCGCAAACCGTCTATCGTTATAATTACTGAACTTGTAACACAGTCCATTCAAAGCTATACTCAGATTCTATTCTTCTTCTTAATAAAGAGATATCTTCTTCTAAAATAGATAATCAAATTGATATCAAATCGATTAATCTTCCATCCACAAAATTCTTATTGCGAAAAATAAAAGATTTACATTAGATAAAGCAGTTGGCAAAATAAATAAATTTTCTTATACTTCAAAAGATAATAATAAATTTTCTTGTAAAACAAAAGAGCTTTACTAGCGCAAAATTCTTCTATTTCATATTTATGGGATTAAAAAATAGTTTTCTCGACATAATAAAATTATTTCTCTAAATGGGATGGACAATAACAGAAAAATATAAATAAAATCATCTTTCAAAACTGAACTTTGCTAAATTTCTGCAAGATTTTTATTTTTTATATCATAAATATATTTCACCAGTTTTTATTGTTGTCATGGCATCCGTTCCGGAGTTTTGCTCCAGCAAAAGAGAATTGATGTCAATAGGATCCCAAGTTGCGTTAAGTTCTTTTTTCAATGTTTGCAATCTTTGTTGAGCTGCAATTTTTTCTCTCGCAAGTCTCTCCATTTCATGTTCGTATTCTCGTTCTTTTTTCCTTAGTGTCTGCGGTATACAAAGAATATTTTATATTATTACAATCTTTCTCTTATTGATTATATAAGCGGCAATGTTAAAGAAAGAATAATTTTAATAATGCAAAG